GTACTTGCTGGCGAGAGAGAGACAGAGAGACAGGAAGAGAGAAATCACCCCCTTGGGAGATGATTATGCTGCAATTCCTCCTCCTCCATTTTTTCCTTGGGATTTTAGGCACACATGCACATGTGCCCAGCATGAGTTTTAAGTCACTAGGTCTGGGACTCAAACCATGGTAAACTACATGGGAGTCCAGTGATGTAATCATTATGCCACCTGCTAGTCCCTGGGTTTTCACATTTTTTGAATATCATACCCTTCATCAGTAATAAACACAGTATTACTGGTGGATTCAATATGTTTGGTATTTAATCTACTTTTATTCAAATTAATGTTGTTACCTTACTTTTTATTATTTAAATAAATGATATTGTCTATCCTTTACTCTTAACCTTTCCAGATGCTTTTTTTCCATTGGTATATAATTTGGTTTTGCTTTCATATGGTATAGATTTATAATTATTAGAAAATTTTAAAGAATTTCTCAATGTGTCAAGATCCTCTTTTCCTGGGACCAGCAGTTAGCGTAATGGCTATGTCACTGAACTCCCATGTAGTGGACCGTGGTTCAAGTCCCAGACCTGGTGACTTAAACTCATGCCATTGTGTGTGCATGCATGCCCAAGATCCCGAGAGGAGAATGGAGGAGAAGGGATTGTGGTGTGGCCATCCCCCCTGGGGGGTGATTTCTTGCTTTCTATCTCTCTGTCTTTCTCTGTCTTTCTGGCAAGCACACGCGCCCTATAGCAAAAAAACAAACAAACAAACAAAACAAAACAAAACAAAAACAACCAAAAACCTCTCCCCCCCCAAAGAAAAAAAAGATAAAAAGTTCCTCCTCAATTAGCTGGGATTACTGGCAGATGACATTGCACTTAGATTTTTTAGGGTGGGCCAGAAATCAATCTTGGGCCCTTCCTTGTGACTTCAGATGCTGAGTAGCATTGCTAACCATTGCCTGCTACTGCAGCTGGGCCAACTATAACCCTTTCCTTCAATAAGAGATTTTAATGTGACTTCTCCCTATTGTTAAATTTATTTGTCCATTTTAATAAGGATCTGAGGGAAAGACAACAAGACACTGTTGTTTTTATAAATATGTCCCCTTTAAGTTGATCAGTATTTTATTTTTCTATCATACCTCATGTAGGTTTTATGAACTTTTTATAAACTCAGTAAAGTTGCAACCACAAAAATCTGACCATTGACTTTTAATGACTCATTTGCAACAAGATTTAAAGACAGATCCTGATACTAGTTTTCAATGATTATCCTTTGTGTTCTCACTACCATTATCTCTGTCTAGATAATCAGCTAACAGGGAAGGGTGTTAAACACAAAAGCACTAGCTATGTCTTGGCCCAAAAGCTTCAAAATGCTGGCCTCCTGTAGACTGTATCAATTTACGGGTCTAGGACGCAAACCGCGGTCGACTACGTGGGAGTCCAGCGACATAGCCATTACACTAACTGCTGGTTCCCTTGATGATATACTTTTAAAAACCACGAATTATCAAAACTTCTTAGAGCATGAGCATAGAAGAGAGAAAATAATTCTACTCTATTTCTCATTCAAATCAAACTAAAAGAAATATACTTTTAAAAACCACGAATTATCAAAACTTCTTAGAGCATGAGCATAGAAGAGAGAAAATAATTCTACTCTATTTCTCATTCAAATCAAACTAAAAGAAAAAGAAAATAATTCTCATTCAAATCAAACTAAAAGAATACTATTGGCCTCTTCCCCTCTATGACACATATTTCCACTTAATTCAATTACTATTTTTGTCTTACCATACCAGATTCAATGACTTTTGAGCTTTCCTTCTAGCTTCTAAGGTAAATGTCCTAATTTGAGGAAAAGATGATTAAAATTTGTAGCTATCTTATTTTAGTTTAATGAATTTTTGGAGAGAATATTCTTTTGCTTCCTAATAAAAATAATGTATAATGATGTTTAGCTTCTTTTATAGTGAAAAGTTGCACTCTTTGCTCTAGTGTTGCTAACTTTCAGACATACTCTGGGATGAGCAACCCCTTGGTGCTCACATGAACAAAACAGAATGGTAATGCTCAACTAAATCCCACATAAACTGGGTCCAATCACAACATTCTATTGATATGCAGAAGAGGATCATGGCTTGTCAGAGACATTAAGGGAGATTTGGACCCTTCATACAGAATGTAAACTCTGAAAAGAACAAAGAAAAAACAGGTTTTACAAATAGCTTGTTTTAAAAGCAAACATATGAAAGCAAAGTAACTTATTCCTTTATTCTTCTTTCTCTCCAAAAATTATATTGTATCTTTACAGACAAAAGGAACTGACTAAACTTTCACTAGCAGCCACCCTCTCACCACCCACTATCCCACAGTCCCCAGGCCCCAAATAAAAGACCATCTGATTTATGAAATAATTCCAAGTAATAGCAGGCTAATATTTTAAGATGTTAATTGACACAGCTTTATCCATGTTGTCTGGGTCCATTGCTGCCTCTAGTTATACTTTCCACAGACCTTGACCTAGCTAGGAATAAGTAGCCACATTCTGGGGTTTCGTTTTGAAAACTCACTGCATAAATGAATTACTAAAAGCAAAAACACGTGATTTGTAACAGTTGTGATTTTTGAGAAAGGCATTATCATTGCTTCTAAAGCCAGAGCTTGTAGACCTTACACATAGATTTTAACAACCACGACAGAATATGAATAATACAGGGTAATTATCTGACAGTTGTTTTCCCACCATTGAGCCAGGCAAGAGATAGAAACATACCTTAGACTGGAGCAAAGAGTTTGGAGAGAATCATAAAGTAGAGCCAGAAATTAAGAGCTAGCTTGGGTATCTGTTTTGTGTTTATCTCGACGTCTGCCATCTGCCAAGACTGTAGCTGATACCTCAGCTAAAAATGAGAATGAGACCATAGAAAATGCTTATGGCTATATTCCCATGTGAAACTTTTGAAATAGACAGTGTTTCAATATGAATGATCAAAATAGATTATAAATGGTGATTTATTCCCTATGATAACAAAAAACATTTGAAAAACAGTCAGAGATAAAAAATATATTTGAGGATGCTATAGATTGTGATACATCTATGCAAAAGAACACTACACCAAAAACACTTTTGAAATAATGATGTGAAGAGTTCTTTAAATTTTCATCTAGTAGTAAAACCATAACTATAACGATGATAAAAACAATTTAAAATATCTGGAAGTTCTAAGTTCCTACACCAAAAGCAGAAGTATTTATTGAGAGAAATCTACTAAGTCATGGTAACAATTGCAACAATCAGTAACATTTAAGCCATACGGTGTTCCTTCCTCCTTCCTCCACTGGGAGTGATGGAAGTTCTAGGTATGCTTGACTAAGAATATGGGACTCTCCTTCACCCCAAATGGTATCTCTCTAGAAAGGGCAGGCCTCTAGTGTTTCTCACTGCCAAGTCACCAGCTTCATGTTGCAGAAGTTCTATTACAGGCAAGAGGAACAGAGATGTTAGGGGCTCCCTTTCTTTCTCCAAATAGCTCTAACTGGGGCAAGTCCTACACGGGGGCACTGCAGGCCAAGAATATTAGGATCCAGTCAAATTTTCTCTTCCTCATGTGTATGCCAGAAGATCTACTATAGGAGAATAAAGCTGAAAACTTAGAGATTAGCACTTTTGCTTAATGTCCTGCTTATAGAATAGGGGTGTCTTTAAAAAAAAAAAAAAGAAGGCAGCTGTTCTCACAACCACTCTGGAGCAATGTCATGTAACTACTGTCTAGAGGAAAGAGAAAAATGGTAAGAATAAAGGATCCATAATTTTCCCTTAAGGATTCACTTTATATGGAACACACTGAAGAGTTAAATCATTGTTAAAAATAGAAAGGGTTGGTTTCATGGCACAGGGATGATGCACTGCTCAGAAAAGCCAGAGCCCATATGGAGACTGAGGTTCAGATTCCTGGTCAGGTTAGTTTGAAACACATCATACACACACACACACACACACACACACACTAGTGCCCAAGATTCAAGGACCTGAAAGATGGAAGAAGAAGATTGTGATATGACCAGACCTTCTGAAAGGTGCTCATCTCTCTCTTTCACATGGGCATGCACAATGATCTATCATGGATAAAGAAAAAAAAAATAAAGAAACAGTGGCAGGTTCTATTTTCTAATCTGTTTAAAGGGAAAGTTTTCATTGTAAAGCATTTTAAAGTTCTTGGAAATTGAATACGGCTCAAGTGTTACACAATTTAAATAGAACTGTTCTTTAGTAATATGGTGATATGATGGATAGCAATTATTATAGCATAAGAGAAAAAAAAATAGATACAGGGTTAGCGAAAATAAACCACAAAAACAATACTAAGAAAAAACAGCTAAGAAGAGCCCTCATGAGTGTAAAAGAGCCTCAAATCTGGTCTCAACAATTATTCCTGAAGATAAATCCAGCTTTAATTGAATCAGACTAAACACCAATTTATGTCCCAAGGTGTTGTCAAAAATAATCAAACTGAGACCAGTAGTTGGTTTAATGGTTACATCACTGACTTCCCATGTAGTCAAATGTGGTCTGAGTCCTGGACCCACCAGCTTAAAACACATGCACAGTGCATATGTGAGCATACCCAAGGATCCTGAGAGGAGAATGGAGGAGAAGGATTGTGGTGTGGCCATTCCCCTGGGTGGTGAGTTCTTACCTTCTGTCTCTAGGTATCTCTGTCTCTTTGGTGAGCACACAAACCCTATAGCAAAAACCTCTCTCAAAAAAATAATAAAAATAAAAATGAAAAAAAAAATCAAGCAATCAGCTAGAAATTACTAGTCTCTGGTACCAGCAGATAGTGTAATGGTTATGTCAGTGGACTGCCATATAGCCAATCAAAGTTCAAGTTACAGACCTGGCGACTTGAAACTCATGCTGGGTGCTTGTCCATGTATACCCAAAATTCCTAGAGAATAATGGTGGAGAAGGGATTGCAGTATGACTATCTTCTGGAGGCGGGGGTGAATTCTTCCTTTTCTTCTCCCAGTTTCTCTCCTGTAAGTACACATACCTTATGGCTAAAACATTAAAAAAATAAAACAAAACCATTATCATCCTAGTGGGATGGGGATGTCAGTGATTATGTGCATACATAAGGCTGCACTTTCTGAGAAATAACATCAGAAGCTGAATACAGAGGTGAATTAGTCTTCACTGAATCAGTTCAGCCAAGTCACTAGAAAAAAACATAATAGCAAAAAATAATAACAATTTTATGGGTGGGGTGATGTTATGAGTTGGTAAAATGTATTATAAACATATTCAGTTTTGAACCAAAAATGATAAATTATGAGGCAAGCAAATAAACAATAATGTGTAACCATATTCAAGGTTTAAAAAAAATGAAACACAAACTGCTTTAGAGAAAGCTCAGACACTGAATTTTGCAGACAAAGAATTTAAAGTAACTATTATATAATTGCATATTTCATCTACTTTCTTCTATTAAGTGAATTAAACATACATGCTTGTGTATGCACACACACACATAAACACACACAGCATTCTCAAAAAGTTAGTGGAAAAATAGAATTAGAGGAGAAGTTATTTTGGTATATAAATTTTGAAATCCACACATAGTTCTTTTCATAATTTTCCCTGAACTTTTTGAAGCCCCTCATATGCCTTCGGTGTGTGTTTATAAGATATACAATTACACTATTGGCACTACACCACACAGAAATATAATATTTTCGTAAAAAAGAGACGGATAGGAGCAATGTTGTATTGGAGTATATAGTGACAGCAAATGGTAACTAGAGTCCTCGTGAAGAAACAGAAATACTAAATAAGAAGGTTAAATTACCAATTGGTCATCATTGTCAAATAATTAAACAAATAAGATTGTTTCACTAGAAAACATTCATTTCATGTATAAGAGAGCAGCAAAAGTAAAATTAAAACAAGACAGACATAAAAAATAAAAAAAAATCACAGATGTAGATCCAGTATTATCACTAATAACACCAAATGTGAATGAATTTTAAAGAAGCAATAAAGAGACAGAGATTGTCAAGAAGAGTAAAAACCATTTTCAACAGAAGATAAACTTTAGATTCCAAAATAAAAGTAAGTTGAAATGAAAACGATGGAAAAACATATGCTGTGAAAATAACATCATAAGGAAGCTTGATACCTATATCAATATCAGATAAAATAGAGTATAAACCAAAAAGTGTTACTAGAAATAAAGGATAACATTATATAATGATAAGAAGGTACACCCATCAGAAAGATATAATTATTAATATGATGCATCTAGTAGCAAATCATCAATATAAATGAAGCAAAACTGAATAGAATTAAAAAGAGAAATAGAAAATGAACAACATAATTGATGGGGTCCAGCAGGTGGTGTATTGGTTAAGGCACTGGACTCCCACATGGCTGACTGTGGTTTGAGTCCTGGACTTGGCACACTGAAACTCATGCCAGTTGAGTGTGTGCCCAAGACCCCAAGAGGAGAATGGAGTTGAAGGGATTTCAGTGTGGCCATCCCCCAGGGGGTAATTTCTCTATCTCTCTCTGTCTCTCTAGTGAGCACACTTGCCCTATAACAAAAATCTCTAAAACAAAAACTAATAATTGATTAATTAAATACACCACTTTGAATAACAGAATGATAAAACTGAGAATCAAGACAAATTAAAAAGACATTTTAAAAATACAATGAAGTTCAGGTCAGCAGGTTACACAGTGCTGGACTTCCCCATGGCCAACCATCGATTGATTGAGTCTCAAACCTGATGGGTTGAAACTCATGCAGGACACATGTGAATGTGTGCCCAAAGTCCCAAGAGGAGAATGAAGAAGAAGGAATTGCAGCATGGCCATCCCCTGGCTGGGAGGATAGGGGAGAATTTTGTTGTGGAAAAGCAGACTGCCTAGGAACAAAAATACAACACTCCAGAGAGATAGGAGTAACTCTTTAATACGCCAGCAGGTGAGGAGGAGTTAACACTCAGAATCTCCGGCCCCCCTTGGGGGTTGAGCACAGTCTTTTATATGAAAGTTCGAGGAGGGGCGGTCCTCTGCAGGCTAAGGGTATCCTATCAGGGAGAAGAAATCTATCAGGAAGAAGCAGCCCATTGGGAAGATGAAGCACAGAGTTTGTTCTCAGTAAGAAAGGGTTAGATAAGCAGGGTATCCAACTTCTCAAGGTCTCATTTTTTTTTTTTTTAATCATTCTGGAGGAGGGGCAGAGGGAATGAATTCTTGGAGGCCTGGGAATTGTTGCCTTTGGCTATTTTGAGTTCTGGGTCCATCCACATCAATTTCCCACTTTCTCTCTGTCTGTCTGGTGAATGTAACCACCCTATAGCAAAACTGTCTCAAAAACAAAAATACAATAAAGCCACTATAACTAACAGATGAATATAGAACACCACACCAACAATGGCAGAATATACATAGTTCTCAAGCACACATGGAACATTGTCTAAGACAAAATAAATGGTAGACTTGAAAATAAGCCTTAGTAAACCTGAAAAGATTAAAATCTCACAAAGCATTTTCCATCTCCAGACCCCTGGCCTAAGAGACACTTACGTAGGGTTCCCCCACCCCAATTACATCTTCAGCTTCCCAACCCCAGCGACCCTCTCTGTCAGCAAGGAAAGACTGCTCTCCAGGCTCTTGAATAGAAGAATCCTCCTGTGCAGACCATATTGTAAAACACAGCAGAAGAGAGGCTTTGGCACACATCAGTCCACAATGAAAGGGAAGCACACTTGTTCCCAGTCAAAGAAACATTCTCCAAAAAGTATCCAAAAGTGAATACCTCTCCCCATGGCTAGAAGTAGAAGAGGTTCAGGCTTGAAAAAACCAGAAGCTATGTCTCCATCAAAAGAACACAATAACTCCCCTCCATCTCTTGAAAAAACATAATATGTTAACAAAGTGTAAGAGAAATAATTTAAAACATTCATGATAACAAAATTCTATGAGTTGGAATGTCAAGTTCTTAACTAGTCCTCAAAAGCTATGTCTTAAATCATCAAGAACACCATTAAAAATATCTATCACAGGCCACCTACAGAGGAACAGCAGCAACCAACTTGTTTACAATGGTAAAGGCATATAGCAAGGTCCCAAGTTCACACCCCAAGATCTCCCTGTACATACCAGACACACATATGCCCATGTCCTGTCTGATTTAGTCTGAGGGCAGGTAGTTGCAAAACCGTGTTAGTGAGTGTATCTCTTTCTTCTGTGTCTGTCTCTCTTTCTGAAGAAATAAAAATAAACTTAAAAATAAATATCCCAGTTTTATACCTCTCTTTCAGGTAGATGGCCTCCCCGAAATTCTTTACCATTACCTGCTCCATATGTTTGTGTGAAGTCAGGGCCAACTGGGCATAGAAGAAAGAAAAGCCTTCTGAAAACAAACAAAACAAAACAAAATAACACAAAACAAAAAACATCAAACAAAATATGTTTAGAATTTCTTTTTTTAAAAGAATTATTTTGTTTAACTTTAATTATTTATTTATTTTAATTTGACCAGAGAGAGATAGAGCGAGAGAGAGAAACAGAGAGAGAATAAGAAACCAAATTGCCAGGTCTGGGACTCAAACCACAGTGGGCCACATGGGGATCTAGTACCCTTAACCACCACACTGCTTGCTGGAACCAATATGTTTAGAACTGCTGGACCCAATATGTTTAGACCTTCTAAGGGCCATTATCCTCATCTCTGTGATGGAATTGGGGATTTGGCAACTATTGAGCAGAACACAGGTTACCTGGTTTAGAAAGGTGGTCTCTTTTCTCTGCTCTTCTTCTTCATTTTCTCCAACTCTTTTCCTATGATTTGGAATTACTTTCATCAGACATAACATTGAATAACATTTTTGATAATGTTTTATGTTCCTGTAATCCTCACAACTCTGTCCTTACACATTTTATCCACAGATTGAAAGCATAGTTTCCATGAATAAGAGTACAGTAGAACCCAAGCTAAAAACAGTTTCCTTATCCATTATGGAGTCCTGCAGAGTTCTCAGCTGATATAATTTCCTTACTCATCTCCATTTTTCTCTAGTTTTTCCTCTGTTGGGTATCTTTGATCATAAATACCATTCTCCTTGTACTTAAGTTTTTACTATATGTCACAAGGCAGTGACAATTGTTCTCATAAAGTGACAAAATAATTTTTGTGTATGTGGTTTAGCCAACATTAAATTGCATAATTTATAAGAATTATTACTGTTTTCAATACCTCCAGACATGTTTACGTAAACCAAATATATGCATAATCAAACTAGCTCAGGGGCTCAGGAAATTTTGACTAACTCAGCATTATGTGCATTTTGCTTTTTCTTCTGGTAGAGCTCTCTCTCCCTCTCTCTCTCTCTCCACATATATGTGTGTAACATATATATATATGTATATGGTGTGTGTATATATATAGTGTGTATTTATATATGAAATATATATATATACATATATCTATATATTATATACATGCATCTATATATTATAAACACATATTATATGTATACATATAATATATATGTATATAATATACACATTATATACACATATACATATATTATATACATATATGTAGATTATATACATAGATGTATAATATATACATATATAAATGTATATATATTATATGTATATGCACATATATATATTACGCACAAAAAATACATATATCTTCTGGCAACATTTTCATATTTCTATGCTAATTGGGTGTAAACATACACTAACTGGACCCGGTGACTTAAATCACATTGGGCACGTGTGCATGCGTGCCCAAAATCCCAACAGGAGAATGGAGGACAAGAGATTGTGGCGTGGCCATTGCCCCTGGGGGGTAATTTCCCACTTTCTGTCTCTCTGTCTCTCTCTGTCTTTCTGGCGAGCACACCTGCCCTATAATAAAAACCTCTCCAAAAAAAGAAAAACAAATATTAGAAACCAAGAAAATCCAATATGGGCTTCTTTAGACATTGATGTTCAGTGTCAAAACTCACTTTAAATTATGTATTTTTTCAGTAGTCAACTTGATTTTTTCCTCTGCCTTTGAAACCTCCTTTTCATTCTATATCTGCTAAAGTTCTCTCATTAACAGCTTCCTAAAATGGGAAAGAAACACACATTATTCAGTATCCCACATGCAAAATTGCCTTTCTTACCTCCTACCAGTCTCAAGGCCTTGATTCAAAAGTTCCCTCCTACCCTTCCCTGCACATGCACAGAATGACAAACACAGAGATAGGGAAGAATCAAAGGCACCCAGGAGAGAGGAAGAATAATCAAACTCTTAAAAAAATTAATTGACCATAAAAATGAAAAACAATTACCTGATGAGAATGTACATAGTAAGGTCTTTGTCTTGACTGATATGCATGGTATTTGTGCTGGTAAAACAATATTCTACACTGTAAAGATATACGTAATTCAATGTAAATTAAAATTTTTTAAAAAACGAAAAATCATACTCTGGCCTACAACTAAGACATTGGGACTTCCAAGTTTCTTTGTGCTCTTCTCATTACTATAAAAGTCAGATAAGATAAAAGCATCTATGGGAGGCATTAGGTGTCTTTCTTGGTCAGTCTTTTGGTTGAGACAGTAAAAGTTCATTTTAGCTCAATGTGGAAAAGCAGGCCACCCAGCTCCTCACAACTACCCAACAGGGTGGGGCAGGGAATGAGGAAACAGTATGCCTCCTGCTGTGGGGAGAGCTGCCCTCAGTAAAGGCTAGTGCCTCACAGAAAGCCAACCTTACAGAGGTCATGATAAGACAAGGTGTCATTCGCCCTGCACTTGACCCTCTGACATTTCAGGACAAAATTCCTGCCACTTCCTTCAAAGATCCTGTTTGAGAGAAGAGCTGAATCTCAGTGTTGGCAACTGTACAGCCATAAAAAGGGATCCATGCCACTCCACAAAAAGGATGTTAGACCCTGAAGTAGATTTCAGATGGAAAACCATAAGCTCAGTGTGGATTTATGTTAACAAGACTGACTTCATTGATAGTGAACTCAATAAATGACTATGGCCTGGAAAGTTATATTTGCTATTATTAGCAAAGGACTCTGTATATGGTTTTGATTCAAAAGATTCTCCACTTTTCTATAGATCACATGTCAAACTCAAATATCTCTAGAAAGCAAGGACAAAAATACTCTAGAGGGGTAAAATCATCAAAATAGCAACAATGAAAATATAATAATGAATTAATTCTACAGTATGAACTCATGAGATTAAAAATAAAAGCTTAGAAGGAACCCTCTCTTTAGGTAAAGATATAAGGCATTTTTGATAAAGACAATGAAGATTTTAAAAAACCTTATTTTTGTTATAATCCATTAGATGAAAAACAAACTAGAAATGCAGACTATTTATAATTTTTTTGTTAATAATCTACCTCTTTTTTTTTGAAAACCTAAGATTCATAATGAAGGTTAGAACCAAGCATTGTTTTACAAGGCTCCATAAAAAACGAAAGACAAAAATCTTTGTAGTAATATGTTTATTTCAGTCATCAGAAACCATCTTGGAAATGTGAATAGCGCAGGGTGTCTCCATGGATAAACACATAAACAAACACAGTCTTCTCCATTTCCTAGACAGCTAAAATTGTAGGTAACCAAATCAGAAGTAGAGGGGAAGATGGTCAGAGAGAATTAACTGAAAGAGAAATGACAGAACTTTTACAAAATGGATTTAAGTGTTTCCTAAACATGAGTCATCCCCACGAGACTTCATAGAAAGACAACTAAATGAAATCCAGACAGGTTCTCATTTTTCCACCATGTAAGAAACATTTTCTGGACACCCTAGAACAAATTTTCTCTTTTGGAAGTGTTAAGTGCTGATCATGTAGAGAGTGTATAAAATAATCTTGCCAAGAGTTTTGAATATAATGAAACATCAGAAAACCATTTAAAAGAATTTTTATGATGGAAAATGCAAACAGAAAATCAAGGGTGTTCTTTGAATATTGCACCTTGCTCAGGAAACAGTAAACTTCCTGTACCCAATTCATCCCACCTACAGGCAGGGATAAATGGGAAGAAGAATGTGTCATAAAATCGATATAGTTGTTCCCCCTACACTATCCCTCTCATTGTGTTCAATATGATTTGTCA